CATGTGTGGGTGCATGCATGCGTATATATATATATATAAATATGCCCTATTTATATATATATATATACACACTCACACACATGTATGAACATTTATACCTATAGCATGATATGGTATGTTCGCGAGCCTGATAAACAGACGTACACCTCAAAAGCTTTAAAATGATTTATTTTATCACTGTTGTATTATTACTCAATTAATTCATTTATTTTTACCACGCTATATATATATATATATATGTGTACAGCTTGCTGGCATCTCACCGGTTGCTGGACACCACGCTAGGTCTCTGATCGCGCCCATGGACGCGAGAAACGTGCGGTGCGGGTAGATGACGTTGTTGTCGGTTTCCACGGTAACCTTGAGGAGCGGCGACACCGTGTTCAGGTCAAACACTGCGACGTGGCCTGCAACGACACGGGAACCACGATGAGAACCATAACCTTAACTCTAAAGCTTACCCCAACCCTAACCACGATGACAACCCTAACCTTAACTCTAAAGCTTACCCCAACCCTAACCGTAACTCCAATCATTAACCTTACCCTAACACTCCCCATAATCACAACCCTCAGCCTAACCCCAACCTAGCCCTAACCCTAATCCTAACTTAACCTAACTCTAATCTAACTACCCTAACTGTAACCTAACCCCAATCTAACCCTACCTTAACCTAACCCGAATCTAACTCTACCCAAATCTAACCCTTAGCTAATCTTACCCCAAGCATAACTCTACCCTAACCTTAACCCTAACCCTAACCATCCCGTCAGCGTACCGTCAGCGTATCCGACGACGATGCGAGCGTGTGCGAAGCCTGGGTTCCACGCGAGGCACAGGCAGGGGCTGAGGCGCGGTCCAGCGAGTCTCGCCTTGTTCTGTTCCAGCACGAGCGCAGGACGCACACGCATCGGTTGCTCCCCCGTCCCCGTGACAAACGACGGGTGCGGCACGCTGCCAAGGTAAAGGGGGATGTGTGAGAGAGGGAGTGCCGCCGTCACGCACGTATGCAACCACCATGTTGCCAATGACGCAGTGTTCAAGTAAAAAAAATGTTATGAGCATTACTGGAATCTATAATAAATTGAAACTGTTCAAACAAACGATGGTTGCAGGATCAGTTCTAGTACTAACTTTGGTAACTCTATCCTGATCAGTATTGTACATGTAGTGTTCAACCAGCACTCAACCACCAGAACCAACGGTCAAACACCGGTCAACCAGGGGTCATGCCGGGGTCAACCAGAGGTCATCCACGCGTACCTGATGATGCGGACGCGTCCGTCCGAGCAGACGGCGGCGAGCAGGCCGAGGCGTGGGTAGCGTCCGGCCTCAGCATGCTGCGTCGACGGGTCCTCCCAGCCACCGCTCGGACACCACTCGAGCCGCGCGACGCCGCCCCAGTCGTGCGCGATCGCCAGCGCTAGCTGCGGCTCAATAACGTGGCTGCAGGGGAGAGAGAGAGAGACGGGGGATGAGAGAGAGAGGGAGAGAGGGGGGATGAGAGAGAGAGGGAGACGGGGGATGAGAGAGAGAGAGGACGGGGGAGAGAGAGAGAGAGAGGACGGAGAGAGAGAGAGAGAGGGTGGGTGAGAGAGAGAGAGAGGAGAGAGAGAGAGAGGAAGAGACAGACACACACACA